GAAAGGTCACCGCCTTCCAGTCCCGCCCTCACTAGGCTGAGGCGCTCCAAGCCATTTACTCCTCTGTACCCCTGACCACCCAGGCCGCCTGCAATAACTGCCTGGCAGGAAGTCGTGTTATCTAGGACACAGAATCTGTTCTCCCCAAAGCAATTAAGTTCTCAGAACAGGAGGGGCCGTGGATGCTCAATGGCAGCTGTCTTTAGCAGGGCCTGTTGCTCCTGCCAGCAGGGCCCTGGTCACACCTGCCCTCTCTAATCCACACCCTGGGATGCCCAGGTCTGCTGGCAGATGGCGTTGCCAAGAGCAGAATCCTGCATCAAGTGGGTCAGGCGTGGGCCTCAGGCAAGGGCACTTCATTCCAGAAATTCCAAAAGAGAAGGTGTGCAGGGGCCTCAACCATAGTGAAGGAGAACCAGGCTATGGAGTTGGAACTGCAAACCCCTCGGGCCTGGTGCCATCAGATGGCCTTGAGGAAGTCACTGATCACCCTGAGCTAAAGCTCCTCCTCTGGGAAACAGGCTCACAAAGATGCAGGGAACCAGGCATGTACTTTCTCGTACCCCCCACCCCGGGGAGCTGTCAGAGAGGAGGAAACGGAAGCTCAGAGAGGGGGAGGAAGATGCTTGGAGTCACAGAGCACCCACGCTAGAGGGCTGGGACACGAGCATGAGTGAAGATACAACTGGCCTGCTGTGCAGGCGTCATGGCAATTGGACACACAGTGTGGCCTGGCACTCGAGTGCAGGATGTGACCGGCTCCCTGGGTTCAACTCCCAGCTTTGCCCTTTCCCAGCTGTACTTTGGGAAGCAACCTGCCTTCTCTGCGCCTCCATTTCCTCACCTGGAAAAGGCGGATAACCCCCCGTGTAACTGACAGGACTTTGGAGGGTTGCTGAGTGAATGCGGTAAAGGCCAATAGTGCAAACAGAGACCGATAAAGAGGGGTGCTCGAGCTGCCGTTCATGGGATGGGATGGAATTTAGAGAACGGACCCCACCCAGCTGTCCGCTCTGCCTGCCAACACTGCGGCGGCCGTACCTGCCCGATGCACACAACCACTGTGTATCCTCCGGGGCCGACAGCTACGCACTTTGGTTGGACGTCCAGTTTCACGACCCCCTGCCCGCTGTCAGAGAAAAGGAGAGCAGAGCACGTTACTTCATCTCCAGGGGGCTCGGGTGGGTATAACACATTGACTGCAAACCCATGCAACTCAGGCTGTTCAGAAGGAAATGCTGCTGCAACCTACAGAGAAGGAGCAGTCAGCTAACCAAGGCGGGGTGACTCAGACTCTAGGGGAAAGTTAGAGATCACAGCCAGGGCAGGGCCTGGGGAGGGGGTGAGGAGAGGAACGAAGGAAGTCATTCCTCCTATTTAATGTGGAAGTACCAATCACCCCATCACCGCTGTCTCCTCGTCTCCTCACCTGTCCACCAAAGACCCTGCGTTTCCTGGGTGCAGACAGAACTGAGTTCTGCTCCCCCACCCCAGGTAATAACCAGACTTCTTAGCAGCTCATCTAAAAAGTACAACCCATTACTTTTATGTGAGAAAATTGTGTTCTCTTTAGTTTTAGCTGATGCTATGAAAACACATTCTAGAAAAATCTGTATACACACAAAAACTTCTTGAAAACGATAAACTGAGGAAAACTTCATGTAACTGGGCCAAGCATGGGGTCCCAAAGGCTCAGTGAATGGGCCTGTGACAAGGTAACCAGGCCGTGGCTCTGCCCTGGGTTCTCTTATCACCGAGGCTCAGGGGAGCAACATGGCCCGATGGTTACAATGCTGGGGGTCACTGTGGGGCAATAGAAAGAGGACAACTGGGGCCCCAACTCCCGGGTTCTGGAGCGGCTTCTGCACTGATCCTGAGGCTTAGCTGACCAGACACAGTCCTGTTAAAGCAAGTGACGCCCACAGCCCACAGGCTCCCTATGATCGGGTGCCCAGTTTGAAGGTCACCAAGATGTCCTCCAGGAGTCCGCCATCTCCAGGAGGATGGTGGTGTCTACACAACTAAACAGAGTGAGGCCGAGGAAGGGCCGGTCTAAGGTGTGGGTGCTGGGGGAGTCCGCTCAAGAGCAGGCACAGGACTCCCTCCTCCTCGCCCTGCACAGGAAAGTGCAGAGTAACTACTAAAGCAACTGCCCCAGCTTCAGGACTGTCAATTGATGGCACCAGCGCAAAATGAGCATGATACTGCCTTTCACTCACGTCTCCTGGTGCCTGTCTGTCCTGTGGGGCACCTGCCACCTGCCAGGCACGTCTCTCATGGCCTCACTGGCGCCATAGACCTCCCCTTACTGATGGAACAGAGCCGAGAGGATGTGGTGAGATCTGTGCCCCCTGGCTTCCAGGCAGTCTACACCTGGTCATGTGTCTGCCACTTGCCTGGACACTGACCCAGCTCCTGGCTGAGGGCCCGGCAAGAGAATGGGTGCCCAGGACAAGAAGCAGAGAAAATACCGTCGAGTGGTGATCTCAACAGGCACAGGGCCTTCGAGAGGCAGCTCACCTGTAGTCCCGCAGCGTGAGGTTGGTGTACCGTACTGTGTCATCCATGCTGCAGCTCACCAGCTGCCCAGACTCGTCCACGGTCATCCTAGACACTTGGTTTGTGTGGCCCTTCCCAGTGAAGGAGTCGTTTTCCCCGGTCTCGGAATCCCAGTAATGTGGGGTATGGTTAAGGAAAAGCCGGACCTCCTGGGTGGGGTGTGTGCCCCCCTGGGGGGCCCACGGGCAATCTCCTCCCGGACAGCATACGAGGGACAGGATGGCAGGGCCACGCACTGGGAGGGAGGTCACCAGCCCTGGCCACACACACGGGGTGGGATAGGGGTGGTGGTGGTGAGGGCTGCCACATATGTCCCTAGGGACTGTCTCAGAGAGAGAGCAAAGGCCCTGATCAGAAGGGAGGCTTGGGGTCTGGTTCCAGCCCTGCTGTCACAGGGGCTGTGACCTTGGATGAGGCACTTTAGTCATGTAAGCTTGTTCTCCTGTTTTAAATGAGAGGGCTCTATGAAGCGGGTCCAAGTCCTTTTAAACGTAAGCCTCCGCAACTCGACTGCTTGTGAGAAGGAGAGGCCAGCAAGAGTTGCATTCAGGAGAGCAGCACTCAAGGCTACAAAGTAGAAGTGACCCAGCAGGTCATGGCCATGGCTGCTCAGAGTGGCTGCTGACAGGTGGCTGGCCTTGCTCTGGCACCGTCGCAAGATGCTCCCACCTCACCTTCCAGTGGCTGGAGCCAGCTTTGTGAGTCAAAGGATATTAATGTGTCCGTCGTGGCTCCCAGAGTAGATGTAGGACTTGCCACCGTTTTTATGCACTGTCAGGCACTGGATGGATTTGCTGTGACCCTGTGGAGGAGACAGGGCACGGTTAACTGAGGACATGCCAGCCACCTCTGCGACCTGCCAACTACTCTCTACTGAATAGGCCCAACCCAGAGCTCCTTCAGACAATGCATTGAGTGCCCTAGCAGAGGCAGGGTCTGCAGTGGGTGGCACCAGGGACAGCCCGAGGGGCTCCTGGTCCGGAAGCAAATTTCCTGAGATGAGAAAATCACTACGGCTGACAGTGGGCGAAGGCACCAAGGTAGGCCCGGGTGACCAGATGACCCGAATAAGAGTTCCTGGGTGACAGACACAGAGTCCAGGATGGTGTCTTCCCGCCCCTTTGGTCACTCCCTGCTGCCGACTCCTGGCTAGGCACTTGAGGCCTCTATGCGTCAGGCTCCATCACTTCCGATTTCATCTCCTTCCACGCCCCCAGCCCTCATGCCCAGGGAGCTCGCCACACGCTTTCCTTTGTTCAAATCCTGCATGATGTCCAGGCCTACTTCTAAGGCGACCTGGTCCTCCTCAAGGTTCTCATGGCTGTCCATGTCTGTGGCGATGGGCTCTACTTACTGTTTTGGGGCTCTGGTGTTATAGCCCAAGAGCCCCTGAGGGAGGCTGTACCCCAGGACAGGAGGGGCAAGGGCCCCCCGCCTCCCACCTTGCTAAACTGACATCCCCAAAAGCCAGCAGCATCCTGCCCCTCTACCAAAGCCCTGGGCCACCTCCTGTCGGCCTCCCTGTCTCTTCCTTGTCCTAGTCGGGGCACCTTTCTCCCTCTGCCTTCCACAGGCAGGCCGTCCGGCCCAGCTCACCTTGATGACCCGCAGGGGTTTGCTGGGGTTGTTCTTGTCCAGGTAATTGATGTACCCGGACAGGGAGATGCTGAGAAGGTGGTCCTTCTGCCACAAGCAGCCCAGCTGCTGGTCCAGAACGTTGGAACCCATGGTAAATGTGTTGACAACAGAGTTCACGTTGACATCCCAAATTTTAGAGGTTTTGTCTCCAGAAGCAGAAAGCAAATGGGTGCTATCAGGACTCCAACTGATCTACTCAAACAAAACAGTGTGCCATGTGTCAGAGAACTTCAGTGGGAAGCGGCCTCAGAGAGCAGCCTGGCCACAGCCCCACTTCTGAGCAGGGAGAAGCAAAGCCAGAGTGGTGGGGGATGTGGGCCGGAATGGGACGAATGTCCAGGCCATGTCACCTGCTGGATGTGACCCTGGTGCTCTACACCGCCACCCGACTGTGGAGCTTCTAACTGCAAATCTGCTGGATGAATGCAAACACAGATATGGCCCAACAACCACAGACAAAGTCAGAAAGCCAAGTCCATACTCACAGCGTAGATGCCTCCGTCGTGGGCCTTGCTCCCTCCTAGGGCGCACACCTTCTCGCCCGTCTTTCCATCATAGATGTAGATCTTTCGACAGAGGAAAATGTGGGGGTATCTGTGAGTGTCTCTCAGCAGTGAGCATGCTGCCTGTGCCCTTCCTTTGTATCCCTGCTCTATCAGTTGCCAACCAAGACTCAAAAGAGAATTAATCTAAAAAAGTGCTAATGGACCTGAGTTTTGCTCCATTTAAGAGGAGACGGAGAGCCGTGTCTCCTGTGCTTTGGTGACAGCCCCGTGACTGAGCTGTGTTCCAGGAGGTGGGAAGGAGGGAGATTCCTAAGCTCCACACACTGAGATCTGCTTTCCTGAGTCTGTCTGTTCTGAACAGTCACCAAGGATAATCAGATGAGCCCCCACATCCACCCAGCCCCCTAGCCTGGGCGAGCCCTCACCTGGCCGTCAGCGCTGGCCGTAGCAAATCTGTTCCCATCAGGAGAGAATCGCACGCAGTTGACAAAGCGACTGTGGTCCTGCGGGAAAGGGAATGGTTATCCACCCAATGACAGGAGGTTTGGGAAAGCCTGCCTCACACAGCTACCAATACTAATGCGAGTTCACAGCCCACAGGAAGATGTTTAAGGTTGAACATGTCCCAATCCAGCTCCTGACTCAGCAAGGGCTGGTTCAGCCTCTGCCTCAGCCAGGCCCACCTCCACCTGGAAGGCCCCGTCCCCCACTGAGGCTCCCTTCACTACACCATGTTACCTGATCTGTGCAGGCAGAACCTCCCTGACCCCCACCCTGGGGCAAGCTCAAGCCCTGAATTCAAGCTTCCTGCCGCGACAGTGAGCCTCCTCCCCCAGGTCTGGCCCGGCCCAAGCCCAGCATACAGCAGGTGCTCGGCTGGCAACCGACTGGTACTATAAAGGAATTAAACAATGGTTATTATGTCCATGGGGAGTAAGAATTTAAGTGACAAGGAGAAATGACCTGAAGGGCTAAGTCCCTTACCTGAACAAGTCAATGAACTCACCCTTTACTCAGTCAAGAAGGGTTTGTGTCAGAATGATCCTCTAAAACTAAAACCCCCAAACCCAAAGCTGTGAACACACGGCTTGTCCCCTCTCCCAGGGGCCCCAGCCGCTCTCTCATCCTACCTGCAATCACGCACTAAGCCCCTATAGGTGCGGGTTAACTGCCTCCACCAGGCAGACACCCAATGTGCACAATAAACAATCAGACTCGATGCTCATCACCTGCCCCCCACAGCCCCTTCCGGGGTAAAGCACTGACTTAATGTTATTTATCTGCAAATGTGATAAAGCTAAGTTAAGTTCACTAGGGTGGACCCTGCTCCAGTGACAGGTATCCTTATTAGTCTTTATTAGAAGAGAGAGACTTAGACAGACACAGAGGGAAGACCATGTGAAGATGGAGGCAGATGCCGGGGTGACACTCCCACGAGACAGGGAGCACCTGTGAGAGCAGAGTCTGGAAGAGACAAGGAAGGAACCAGTAGAAGCACTGCCTTGCGACACTGTGATCCCAGACTCCCGGCTTCCAGACCTGAGGGAATCAACTCCTACTGTGTAACCTGCCCAGGTGGCAGTCTGGGACAGTAACCCATGTCTAACCAACGTGGCCTAACAATCATGTAATAACCCTCAGGTACTCTGTGTCTGCTACAGAAGGAACCCACCCAGGAAAGAGAAATCAGGTGTGCGGTTCCCAGGAGGGCACCAAGAGCCAGGGATCAAAGGAGCCACGCCCCAGCAAAGTCCACTGGGAGGGTAAGCAGAACACAGGGATTCAGTGAGCATGGGGTTCCTCTTGTAGACAGTGCTCACCCCAGGGAAACACGCAGTTCAGGCCGTGGCTTTAGGCCAGACTCTCCCAGCCCCTCACACTGAACCATTTCTGGCAAGACATAGGGTCCAGAGCTCGGGTACAGCAAGCCAGGCTTCCCACTCATCACCAATTAAACCACCTCCCTCAACTGTTAAGACCAGAGACAGCCGCAAGTTCATCTCACTGGGACACCTCCTCAGGGGTCACATCCACTTCCAGGGGCCAGGCCAGGACTTGGTCCTACAGCAAGGGTCAGGCACAGAGACCCTCCCAGCCCCAGAGGATGAAGGTGGAAAACCCGGTCTCTGACTAGTTACTAATCACTGCTGATTGGCACAATCCTGGCTGCCTCCTGGTAGAGGAGTGATGGCCCCTCCTGCTCCAAGTCAGGGAGCTTCCCTGTGGGACAGGAACTTTGCTGGGACTTAAGAGCTTGCCTCCTGCAGGGGAACATCACCAGCACCCGTGATGAAGGCTAGCCCTTTGCCACCCACCAACCCACCTCCCAGTGTTGAGGCACAACTGGGTGTCACTCATACCACCAGGGTGACACTGAGGCCCCTCCTGTGTTCTGGCTCAGCTGTGGGTTTGTCTTTCTGGTTCCTATGTCCGCTCCTCCTGTCTGTAAGGCTGACCCCTGCTCTGAAGCATGTGTGCTGTTTCCTTCAGTTCCTAGGCACGTGGAGTTGGAGGACTGAATTTTCTAGCAGGTAACACCTGCCCACTGAACCAAAGTGAAAATTAGTTAACGTTCCAACCTGGGCTCTCAGGCCCCCCTGACTGCCTGGCATCCAATGCAACCCACCCACCATCCTACCACCAAGAGGGGGGCCCCGGGGCCTCCAGGCACCTGTGTTACGGGAGACACCAGACCCGAGAGGCCGGGCTGTGAGGAGCCAATCTCCAGTTTCCTGTCCAGAGCTCTCCGCTGCGTCAGCTCTGGGCCCCGGGCAGGAGCTGGCTGGCAGGCAGGGGCCCCTGGCAGGGAGCCACCTAAGGTCAGATCCTTAACTGCTCAGGCCACCTGCCACCATTCTGCTGTCCACTCAAGGCTGTCAGGGAGCCAGCTGCACAGCAGGGCCCACACTGTCCTCCCTCAGGGCCAGTGGTGTTCAAAGCCAGGGGTGGGAGGGTCTGGGACAGCACCCTCCACTCATCCCTCCCAGTCCTCTCTGCAGCCCTGAGGTCAAGAAGGACAGGCACAGCTCCTGCTTCTGGGTGAGGTGTAAAAAAGCTTAGATAACAAAACCAGGGTTCAAACCCTGGACACCTGACCAGGGGCTAGCTCTCATCCCTGAACTCTATGGGTCCACCATCCCTGATGTTCTGGGTTTCCTCCGGTAAAATGGATGGGGGGGGCTGGGTCAGGGGGACTCAGCACCCTGTGACTGACCAAGGGGTTTGGCAGATGGGGAAGGAGGAGCAGGGCTCCTTCCCTAAGAACTGGGTGCCAAGAGCTCACCACAGCGGAGTAGGCCTCAGAGACAATGGGGTGCTATAGTGGGCACTGACCTCTGCACTGGGCATAAGAACAGGCTGTGGACCAGAGAAGCACTGAACCGCTGATAAGCTCGGCATAAACTGCAACTTTGCTGGTTCCCTGCAAGAATGAAGCATCCCCCATCACCTGGCTCACTAAAGTCAGGATGCTCTCCTGGAGGGCAGCGGATGATGCCAAGGCCCTGGCCTNGGAGGACTGAATTTTCTAGCAGGTAACACCTGCCCACTGAACCAAAGTGAAAATTAGTTAACGTTCCAACCTGGGCTCTCAGGCCCCCCTGACTGCCTGGCATCCAATGCAACCCACCCACCATCCTACCACCAAGAGGGGGGCCCCGGGGCCTCCAGGCACCTGTGTTACGGGAGACACCAGACCCGAGAGGCCGGGCTGTGAGGAGCCAATCTCCAGTTTCCTGTCCAGAGCTCTCCGCTGCGTCAGCTCTGGGCCCCGGGCAGGAGCTGGCTGGCAGGCAGGGGCCCCTGGCAGGGAGCCACCTAAGGTCAGATCCTTAACTGCTCAGGCCACCTGCCACCATTCTGCTGTCCACTCAAGGCTGTCAGGGAGCCAGCTGCACAGCAGGGCCCACACTGTCCTCCCTCAGGGCCAGTGGTGTTCAAAGCCAGGGGTGGGAGGGTCTGGGACAGCACCCTCCACTCATCCCTCCCAGTCCTCTCTGCAGCCCTGAGGTCAAGAAGGACAGGCACAGCTCCTGCTTCTGGGTGAGGTGTAAAAAAGCTTAGATAACAAAACCAGGGTTCAAACCCTGGACACCTGACCAGGGGCTAGCTCTCATCCCTGAACTCTATGGGTCCACCATCCCTGATGTTCTGGGTTTCCTCCGGTAAAATGGATGGGGGGGGCTGGGTCAGGGGGACTCAGCACCCTGTGACTGACCAAGGGGTTTGGCAGATGGGGAAGGAGGAGCAGGGCTCCTTCCCTAAGAACTGGGTGCCAAGAGCTCACCACAGCGGAGTAGGCCTCAGAGACAATGGGGTGCTATAGTGGGCACTGACCTCTGCACTGGGCATAAGAACAGGCTGTGGACCAGAGAAGCACTGAACCGCTGATAAGCTCGGCATAAACTGCAACTTTGCTGGTTCCCTGCAAGAATGAAGCATCCCCCATCACCTGGCTCACTAAAGTCAGGATGCTCTCCTGGAGGGCAGCGGATGATGCCAAGGCCCTGGCCTGCCCTCCTGGTGCCATGTGCGCCCTTGGTGATCCCGTTAGGATGCTGCCTCTCCTGTGAAAGGCCTTCCCTGAGCGCTGGTCCCGGTCTCCTCAGTCACAGCTCTCAGCTGCCCCTGACACTGTGGGACGTGGCCCATGAAACATGGTACCTACTGATGTGTCTGTGGTCTATCTCCCTGCCACCAGGCCCCTGCAGGCCTGGGAACAAAGCAGGCTCCCAGGAGGTGCCCTGCTGGCCTGAGTTTAGTGAAGACTAGACACACAAATGCCACCACCACTCCAAGCGCCCAGTGGCTTTAGAAACTCCTCCGTCAGCCTTTCCTGCAATTTGAGCCAAGTGTCCAAAGAGCAGACGACTGATGTGTGCTCCTGAAATAGCCTATTTAAAGACAGGGATGGTGAACAGCCCATTAACCAAAGTGGGAGGGCTAAAAATAGCCCTTTCCACAGGGAGGCACAGCTGGTACAAAAAAGGACCAGTCTGGGGCAGCACCTCGGGAGTCAAGACTCAAGCTTCTTATGGCTGCCTTTCTAACCCTTGTACTGAAAAGCCCTGCGCCCACCTGCCTTGTTCCTCTGTCCTGAGCTCCTGGAGAGAAACAGGCTCATGCCCGTGCCCACCATCACCTCCCCCACCGCCCGGAGAGGGCACGTGCCTCCACAATCCTGGCCTGGGAATGCTACCTTCCCTCCCTCAGCCTACTGCCTCTCCCGAGCCTGGCGCCCCCCTCGCTCTGTGAGGTCTCCCGGTTCAGCACCTGGAGAGGCAGCACCGCATCCTTCACCTGCCTCAGCTGGGCTGAGGCCAAAGGCAACCGCCCTCCGCCCTCCGCCCTCTGCCTGCCAGGGTAAGAGCCGTGCCCTGCTGACCTCCCAGCATGACTGTCACTAATGCACACACAGCCCTTTGAAAAACAGGACCAGCCGACACCAGGCGGTAGCTAAGGATGAGGCCAAGGCAGGTCAGAGAGAGCACGTGACAAATAGGAAGAACTGCAACTTCTGCGTTTTCTGCCCTGTCGTAAGGACACAGGCAAAAGGAAAGAACCGCCACAGAAAACCCTGCAGATTAGAGCGCAAGCTTTACTTAACTGTCGAGGAAGGCAAAGCTTCTAACAGCCAGGACTGAGGCTTCTAGTTAACTAGCCTCCAAACGTTCAGAAGGAAGTGGGTCACCCCGTTTAGAGCTGGCTGTGATGTGTAAGACCACGCACAGGTGACAGCCTATCCTGGAGCAGCTGGCTGCTGAGCCGTGTACCTCGACCTAGAGAAGACCCAGTGTCCCCTCCGCTGGTGTGCTCCATCTGCTCTCAGACACAGGCAGATGTGGCAGGAAGTTCCCAGTCCCAGATCACACGGCCTCAGCCTGGACAAGCAGGCCTGGGGCAAATGAGGCCCCGACACCTGGTTATTCTAAGCAGTCATTACATTTGACAAACTATCCCACTGACTGCAACTCCCGGGGCCTGAGATGTGGACACAGCTCTCAGAGGTGCCAAAAGGGGCATCCTCGGTCATCTCAGGCAGCCACCTTGCACACCTGACAGAGGAGGAAGCAGGTGGCCACAGAGGTATAGAAACTCACCCAAGGCCACATGGAGTAAGACAAGTAGGGACACTGAGTGAGGTCCCTCACAGGATGCGCTTGG